TCGTCGTGATTGTCCTTGTCGTCATCGTCGTCGACCAACTCCTCCTTGTAGATCCAGTGGGCCGCGGCGCCGTACTCTGCGACGTGGTGCATCCTCTCCGTGCGGACCTGAATCTCGAGCGGGGTGGAGGCGCCCTGCGGGACGACGGTCATGTGAAGGCTGCGGTATCCGTTGCGCTTGGGGGCGGCGATGTAGTCCTTTGCGCGGGACTCAAAGGTCTCAAAACGGGTGCGGATGGCGTCAGCCACTGCGTAGCACGCGGCCTCCTCGGCGCCGTCGTCTGCGCGCTTGGGCTGCACGACGATGCGCAGCGCGAGCAGGTCGTAGATCTCAAACACCTTCTTGCCGCTGCGGCGCATCTTGCGGTACACCGAGTAGAGCCCCTTGACGCGGCCGTTGATCTGGGCGGCGCGCACGCGGCTGCGCACCTCGGGGGTGGTGCTGAGCACGCGCTCCAGAAAGTGCTTGCTCTGGCGCAGCGTGCTCTCGCACTCGCGGCGGCGCTCGCCCACCAGGCGGCGGACCATGGCGTAGGTCTCCGGCTGCAGGTGCATGAAGGCGAGCTCCTCCAGCTCGCCCTGCACAAACCAGATGCCGAGCTGGTTGGCCAGCGGGGCGTACAGGTACATGGTGCGGCGGGCGACGTTGCGCTTGTCCTCCTCGTACTCCAGGGCGTCCAGGGTGCGCATCTGCAGCACGGCATGCGCAAGCTCCAGCGAGAGGGCGCGGTGCTCGTCCATGGCGCCCACAAGCACGAGCTCGCGCAGGTTTGAAAAGCTCATCTCCGTGAAGGCGGGGTCCAGGCAATGGCGGACGGTCTGCACGAGGCGTGAGTGAAAGTGCAAAATCCTGAGAACATCCGGGCCGACCTCGCGGTCGACCTGTGCCCTCGAGCAGCCGGGTCGGGCGACAAGGCCGCCAAGCACGGCTGCGCAGACGGTGTCGCAGTCCATCTGAAGGTCTGCAACAATGAGGGCGACGACGAGGTTATTCGCAAAGCGGGCCGCATCCGCCCTCGCCG